CAAAAATTATGACGATGTTAAGGAACAAGAAAATTATGATAGCTCAGGAAAAAAGTTTTAACATTCTCTTCACCAAGACAATTTGCAATTTCATTTTGAAGTAAGTAAGAAGTAATTAAAATTTTAATTAAATAATAATGTAATTAAATAAATAATTTTAATAACATTTTAAAGTAAAAAAAACATATCAGAACCACATTTTGGATTTTGTTTACAGTTCACTATCCATTGTTACAGCTGCAATTGCCTAATGGCCTGCAAGAGCAACAGTAGCAATGGAAGCAAACCTGACGCACCGTTCATGCTTTGCCTCCAGCTGCTTCATCTGCGCTGCTTGCGCCACCTCCATGAGCCTCTTGAGGATCTCTTGCTGTTCTGTCAACTGCTGCTTCATTGTGGCCCACTCCTCACGCCGGTGGCGCTCCACCAGCTCAGACCATTGAGACGTCTGCTCTGCCACCAGCTTGCGCACACCAGGGTCACCTGCCAGCTCGGACTTGCTAAAAACACACACAGCTATGAAAATATGGCTCTGGATATTTATATGATCCATATTTATCTCCCCAAAAATTTCAATGAAATCAAATGAATCTCATTAGAACATTAAAATAAATTTTAAAACATTTAATTATGAAATAATAATGAAGCAACATTTGAAGTTTTATTACTTTTATTTCTTAGTATCTATGAAATAAACAGAATGCTATGTAAAGCTGCAAGAACAAGAGCAAATTTTTCAACAGAAAAGGTTTATATGTTTGTGATAACAAAACATGAATTTTTGGTACTTGGCTGTTCGGGACAAGCTGTGTCACAGTGACAGTCAGTCAGTCAGTCACGAGCTGTCGTGTCAGCAATCATGTTGAGGCTGCTGATAGCAGCAATGTAGCTCAGATGATGGCCAAAACATCAGCTCAGACCAACTTTGATGTGGCTTGTCCCGGACAGCCAAGTACCAAATGTCTGTAGTCACAGAAGCCTAGGAATCCACCATATGAATTTGTGTTCTTCCAAAACACAGTAAATTACTTTCTGAAATGCATAGTATACTCAGAATCCACATTTTCTGGGTCACTGATAATGAAAAAGTGTTTTTTCTTAATCTACCTGTCTGAAAAACAAACCTTGCACTTAAATCATACACAAGATTTTTTCCAAGAGAATACTTCCTAATTGTTCTGGGGGTAATGTCATAGCTCCTGGAATTTGAAATGGATGTTTTAATTTTAGGGGTTAATTTACAAAAGCTCCTCCTATCACATTTTCGAAATTTTCTCAAAAATGGATAAAAAATGTTAATTAAAATTTTTAATTGATCTAAGAAGTAGACAATGGAAATTAGAGATTTTTTCCTTAACAAAATCCATTCTTCAAAAACAAATCTTAATATAATGCCAAATAAAGCATTTTCAAAACAGTACTGAGTATATTTCACAAAACTTTAGAATCATGATAAATAAATAAAAAAAGCATTCAAGGTTTTGTAAAAAAAGCCTTCAATTCATTCTTGAAATTTGTTATTTGAGAAGAGAAAAGTTTACTTAATAATATGGCATTCATGCAATTCTCATTCAAATCTTAGGAATTTTGAAAATTGCAAAACATCAACTATTTTTTACTTCTTCACAATCATTGATATTTCTAATCAGTATCAGTATTAGATTATAAGAGATAAGAATGTAGATTGTGTTACTTATGCACTCTAGTTCAAATCCCACTGGACAAATATTTGAGTGTGGAAAAATTTGCAGAAGCACACATAGGGACAACAAGGCGATCCCTAAGTGAAGTATGATTAATTGATTACTGATTCTGGGTGCATCAATTGCTGAGGTCATTAGTCCTGCAAGATCTGGTGCCGACTTATGTCCACTTGCAGGATTTTCCTCAACTAGGAAGCGGGGTGTTGGGAACCCTAGGCAGTGCCAACTAGGCAGTGGGGCACTGCCCCAGCTGGGACAAACTCTAAGCTCCGGACTGGTCTCCCAACAAATGTAGTGCATGTGAGTGTAAGTGAGGAAGAGGAAGGAAAGATCATGCACTGCCCATGGCACATTTGTCAGGGTCAGACATTTGTCTGGAAATGATGGGAGAATCCACGGAAGCTATCGATCAGAGCAAACGGGGGCTCTTTCACTCTTTCAGGCAGGGGCTGAATTCAACCTAGCTAGTGTCGAAAATCCTGCCCCACTTGAGATTCAGACCCTAGGACCTCGAAAGTAGAGGTCTTGCAGTGGCATCAGTTGATGCCCCAGGTCCCTTTTGGCCATCTAAGTGAAGGAGGCCATCAATAACATCTGCAATTGAGTTCAAAAGTGGGAAATTTTTTTACATTCAGTGCAGCTAATATTATAAGATTATATAACTGTTACAAATAAGAAGGTATTTGCTGTTGTAACTCTTCGACCACTATATACTGGAAATGTTTTTAGACAACCATTTTAAGCATCCCCCTGCTTAAATATTCTTTTAGTTGGCTACTTGGTAATCTATTGCTATGACATGCAAGCAATTATCCCAAGTAATTCCTACATTCTAACAGAAACTAACGAAGATACTCACTTTTTACCCTTGATGGCTTTTTCAATAGCAGCACACTGTTGTTTCTGCACAGCAAGCCTTTCCTTCAGCTGGCGCTTCCGTAGGGCTTCAACTTCCTTCTGCTGCTTGCGTGCTGACTTCTGGAAGCCCTTCTCTGCTCTCAGGCTCTCCACTGTGATGGGCTCGAATTTCAAGTCCTCTGCACATAAAAAGGCCAATTTGTTCCTCAGGAAACTGTAAACGGTGTACAGTAGGTAAGGTAAACTAGAGGTGCTAAAATAGCAGGTAATTTTTTGCTTATATTTTCACCCCAAATTACGTGAAAAGTGCTCAAGTTTTAAAAATATTGTACATGACCTTATATTAAAATATATCTTTAAGGAACAGATTTCATTAAGGGAAAGAAATCTCTATTTTTAGTATTTTAGTTGTAGGAAGACAAAAACTCTTGAACTTAAGCAATTTTCTAAAACACAGGGTTTTCAACGAACATGAGACCTGTACCATTCTCTAAAACATCCTCACACTATCCAACAACAAAATTTAATCAAAATTGAATTTTCTAAAACTCAGGGTTTTCAACGAACATGAGACCTGTACAATTCTCTAAAACATCCTTCACACTATCCAGCAACAAAATTTAATCAAAATTGCTGGCGCCATATTTTCAAAAATTTGAAAAATTTCTATGGAGCTTCATGTAAAGTACCCCCAAAATTAAAACATCAGTTTCAAATTCAAGGGGCCGCGACATCAGCCAGATCAATTGTGGGATATCAATTTTGGAGAAAATCGGTTGAACAGCTTAATCATGTTAGCGTTGTTCAGAGATGGACAGACAGATGCTTTGCCATCATTAGATTTTTCAGTGTCAAGGACCCACAACACATGGATTCGGGCTACACCACGAGATTAAGCACCTATTTTTCCCAAAATTTGGCAACTGAATTTATCCACTTTTACCAAATCCCTGTTTTTCTGGCGAAAATTTGCCATTTTTTTGCATAGTGTAACATAACTTTCTCTCCACTCTGAACCAAGAAAGTAAAAGCGTCAATACTGATGTTGATATCAATGAAAAGATGTTTACACCAATGAACTCATCCCATATGTTATTCACATGGTTGAAGAACTTGAAGTTTTCATTTTTCATTTTACATTTGGCTACAGGGAACTGTAAGTTTATATTTTCTTGATGAAGAAATTGGCTGGAGGAAATTTCAGTGAATTAATAATAACTACATCACTTTTGATGGACTGACTACAGCTGCTATTAAATATATGCAGTACATATTATAATGTTTAGCGCTTCATGATGTGAGAAATAACAACAGCCAACAAATGAAGGCAGGGGGAATTTTTTTCAATTCCCAACAAAAGTTGTTTGAAATTTTCAGGTTCTTGAAAATTGTGCAACAAGTGCACAAATATGGAAATAATTAACTTGTCTGCCCCCTAACACCTACTTTATTTCTTGAGACAAATTCTCACTTCAATAACTCATTGATTGGTAATGAAATAGAGCTTCAATCCATCACAGCACACGTCACAATATAAAGGCTTCAGAACATTATTTTATTACCTCTAATTCAGAAAATTCTGAGAACGATCTAATATGACATGTACCAATGGAATTGCTGAGAAGAACAAAGGCACTCCATTCTTCTATTGTGAGAGTGAAGAAAATCTAACAACACTGTGAAAGCTGCATTTTAAAATACAATATGTGATATCCTAAGTAAAATGTTTATACCACAATATCAGGACCATTCAAAAACAAATTCGTTTTGCCATTCATATGTCTATTTCTCAGTCTCGAGCACTAATTAGTCTTTCAAATGCTTCACTGAAGTTGTATCAATCTTTCCAATAACATACTAAAAACATTTTTATATAAAAAAAAATTCCTAATTTTTTTGAGGGAAAATTAAGGAGAGAAAGAGAAAAAGAGAAAGAAAAGAGGAAAGAAAGAAAGAAGGAAAAAAAGAAAAAATAAAAGAAAGAAAAGGAAAAAAGGAAAGAAAAAAGGAAGGAAAAAAGGACAGAAAGAAAAGGAAAAAAAGAAGAAAAAGGAAAGAAAGAAAAGAAAAAAGGAAAGAAAGAAAAGGAAAGAAAGAAAAGAAAAAAGGAAAGAAATAAAAGGAAAAAAAAGAAAGAGAGAGAAAAAGGAAGAGAGAAAGAAAGAAAGAAAGAAAGAAAAGAAAAGAAAAGAAAAGAAAAGAAAAGGAAAGAAATCAATTGATGAATGAAATGTAAGTGATGCACATGAGCATAAAAGCATTCAAATACCTTTCTTCTCTTCCGGACCACCTACACCACCGCCAGCTCCTGGCTTGGTTGATTTGCTGCCTTTCTTCGCATCTCCACCAGACCCTCCACCACCCACCAGGTCCTTGGTGGAAATGTCTGTTTCCTCAATGCCCATTGCCTTCATCTGCTGCGCACGCTTCTCTTGCGCAGACAAGAAGGCTCGTGGATCCGACAATGCATCCATAAAATCTGTAATATGCAAAAAGAGTATAAAACACAAAAGTGAACATAAAAAATCTCAGGGAGAAGTAAAAACTCTAAATTGGAATGACTTCTGAAATTGGGACACACTTTTGGTTAATGATACCACCAATGATTTTAATGAGGATTTTGGCAAGATGTTTTTGCTTAAGCCAATATTGCACATTCATTGGTTTGCTAGCTCATAAAAGTACACAGCAAATTGTACTACAGTGATAAGACCACAAATTGCTCATCGTTTGTTCATCATTTGTTCATCGAGAGATTTTTTTCGTGAGCACTGAAGTTGAGCATCAACAAATTTTCAATTAAAAATATCCTAAATCTTTATGATTTTAACAGATGTAAAGTTGTTCCTTAAAGGAAAGTAATTAAATCATTTAAATTTTATTTTAAAATGAAGAAATCGTAAGTACTTGGTAACAAAATATACATAGAGCGCTACAAGAAAAATATCCCGAAAGCTGATGATTTTATCAGGTTTGCCTCTTGTCAAATATAAGTCAAGGCTCACACACAATTTCAAATAAAAGTCCCAGTAGAATGATGCTCACCCATTACACTGCCAGAACAACCAGGCCTTCTGGCAAGAAAACTGATACAAGAAATATTAGGAAAATGCTTATATATATTTTTTTTTTTTGTCCCTGCAGCTCCACTATGTTTGCAGAAATTTTCAAAATTAATTTAATGGAGAGAAGAAACACAATATTCCCTCATTTTGTTTAGGATTTAACAGTTATATAGTATTGTTGTGAGGGGAGGAGAAAAAAAAATGTAACACTAAGTTTTCAATTTTTTTAATATTTTCAAAATTGAAACTGGATTTTTCTCACTGTAATTGAATTTTTGAAATCTAAAAACAACTTAATCAGTTATGATTAAAACTGGAAATCTCTATTGTTATATAACTTCTGATTCACAAATGACAATAATATTCATTAACAAAATGAAATTTTGTTTCCTTGCGAGCCAGTCTTCAGGTGTTCGTTACATGGCCACTTAAAACAGTCTTCTGTGACTTCGAACATGCTAAATGGGTACATATTTCTTTCGAAACTAGCAGTTAATACCTTAACCGACAATATAAGGCCATGCAATAATGATTGTGGTTGAAAATATAAATAAAAAGACCAAATAAAGCTTGATATGGCTTTTATCAGCATTCAGGAGATTTGCCGCAAACAATTCTTTGGTTAATTCATTTTTCATAAATGATGACCCAATATGAAATAAAAAAAGACAAAATTACCTACAAAATTGCCTGGCAAAATTTTTTTCTTATATACAATGAATGGTTGCGATATAATCTTGGCTTTATACAAGAAAGGGAAAATGAAGTTCCTTCGAATTCTAAGAACCCTAATCTTGTTGAAACTATAAAAGTATTCGAAAACTCCAAAACAACACAGAAAATGGTTGCTAAAACTGGTGAACTGTATCTGGTTTCACTATACGGCTACAGTGAGAAGAAACATGGCTTCATTCAAGCAATTGGATTATGTCTGCAGCATCAAATCTGTCTTCAAATACAAGGCAAACATTGCTGCTATGTGTAGTTACAGCTCGTACTCTTAAAAGTCTAACAAGCCCAGCAATGGCTAGTTGTCAAAAAATTCCACAAGAGAGGGGGTGTGTGTGTGGAAAAGAACAAAAAATTGCCTTGTTCCTGTGATAACATTGTTCCCATCTTCTCTCCAGCTTTACAGAAGCTTGTGTGTTTTGTGCAATGCACCAAAAACTGCATGATACATTGTGCATGCAAGAAGGCAGAGCAAAAATATTTCAACTTGTGCCTCAACTGTAAGACAAGCTGCAAACAATCAGACTAATTTCTGAAGATCTGGAGGATGAGGTAGAAATGCAATTGGAGTACGGGAGTATAAGGGGGAACAAGATGGAGCCGGATTTTCATTCAATCTGTCACGCCAAATTGAAGTGGGTGAGGTCATTTTACAGGGTATTTCCAAAGATAATACCAATAATAAGAAACAGTGTAATATACTCATGGCGTCACCAAATACTATTATAATAATTTTTATATCGAATAGCATCCGTCACAGTTAAGTAGGTCGCGCGGACTGGCTTTTGTTGCGAAGAACCCTAACGACCGCCCGGCCGCGCCCGCACATTGACAGCTGCCCGACTGACCACTGAGGAGCGTGTCGCTTAGTGGCGGACACGTTTATGACCCGTCATATACACCTCGCGCTGCACCTCTTCGAGGAGCCACCTGGCACTCGACAAACAATACGCGCCCGCGCCCAGGAATCCAAATCCAAAGGGGTTATTTACAACTCACAGTCGCCGGCTGCCGATCAGCCTCCGCTGACAAATTGATGCCCCAAAAATACGCAACCGCTCGAACAAGTGTTCGGACAGCTTGCGAGAGAAGCTCCTGGAATCACAGAGAAAGAGAGCTCCCTAGAAAATTCCGTCAACGGTGCATCCCGATTGGAGAACTTCAAAATTAAAACGCATTAGTTTTAGGCTTATGGGACCGTCTCATCGTGAGAGGGGAAGGGGCAGATCTGCAGGTTCGGAAACGTTTTGGGAGGGGGAAACGGAGGTAACTAGGAACGCGAGATGAGCGGAGAACTTCACTTTTAAGCCAGACTCTCGAATATTCACTTTTAAGACTTTCAGACTCCTCTGAAATAAGCACTTTTAAGTCAGACTCTCGAATAAGCACTTTAAGTCAGAACTCTCGAATAAGCACTTTTAAGTCAGACTCTCGAATAAGCACTTTAAGTCATGACTTAAGTCAGACTCTCGAATAAGCACTTTAATTCTCTCTAAATTACGCCTAAAGTCACTACTGAGAGGAACATCATTCACATTAGAATTACCGCGGAGGAAACTTGGCAGGAGATGCGAGATCCCGCGTAACTTTCGCAAGTTGATCTGCATCCGCCGCCTAGTGCCATATCTTGGCCATTCAAGCCCGCACTAAACCACGGCCAGCACCCGTGCGTCCTCAACTGACTGAGTCCGCACGATTTGACGATTCCGTCGCCACGACACGCTGCCAGCCGAGGAGGAACACCAAGTGGGAGGTCGGTGACTGAGACAGCCTGCCGTCTTAGATGGGATCGTCACCGGCCGGTCTGCGGAGTCACGCCACCAGTGGTGATTAATTCGGTATTTAACCGGAGTCGAAACTATCTCCCGGTTGACGTTCGCAGGGCATTTAGGCTCGTAGTCACTCGCAGGGCATTTAGCGAGAGACTAAGAGTGCGCGCTCAGGTCGTTTTTATTATAGTTAAAGATGCCTGAATTGTTATCAATAAGTCATTAATGTTAGAGTTAAGAATTGTTCATTAACTATTAAGATTAGAGTTCGTAACGCAAGGTTAGCAAGTAATCTGTGTCGCTCTCTTGTGACCTGTAACTTCCCTGGCAGCTCATGTTGCCAGGTAATATTAAATTTGTTAGAAACGATCAATTGGACTGATTTATGACTCCCTTCACTTCCATCCTTTCGTTACAGGAACTGAACCTGGCGCCCGACATATCCCGATCGAGCGATCTCATGACAATATAATAGTGATAGTAATAAAAACATCTGCCAATTCCATTTCTCTCTTTCTGTAAGATAGATATCAATGAAAAGTTAAGGCCTTTAAACCCAAAGTTGCATCAATGAAGGAGGGGGTTCATCGGCTTGCAAAATATTAATTTTCCTTCTTTACTTAGATAATTTACCTACTCTGCTTCTTTCAATTACAATGTCCAATGATTTGAATGAACTTATTGAAGACAACACCATCGCTTGAAAATTACATATAGCAGTTTCATTATTACCAAGGGAAGATTAATGGAGTCCCATTCTTGAGGCATTTTTTGCTGGTTTCAAAACATGTTTCCTGAGCAACCATAGAGCAAACAAAATAATTCCAAGACATAAAATGTGGGCAATTTTATCCCTTTTCAGTTCGTGTAAGGTCAACATTTACCAAATAAAATTTTTAAAAAAGTTAACATTTCATATACATTGATTTTGGTTTTATTGAAATAAAGAGTGATAATTCATGTTTTTACATGCTTTTTGTTTAAAACACCAAACTTCACAGTGCTCTTGATGGTAAACGGTTGATTTGAAGAAAGAAGAAAAAAAAAAAAAGAAAAAAGGATATTCAAATTTAGTGATCCTAAAATATAGGAACCACACATCAAAACTACACCAAAACATTCCTATACTCCCTAACATTTGACTGGACTATAAGATTGAACCTGAGTAACTATCAACCATCCAATTGTCAACATACCTTCGAAGCCATCAGGTACATAAATCTTTAAATCTATATTGCAAAACAACATAGGCAGTGACATTGGGAAGTTGGCTTCTGTGCGCAGAGAGATATGCCGGTAGCCTGCTTGCAAACCATCCAGGGGTAAGATGCGCTGTCCCAGAAGACGTCCATTTTCATCATACACTCCAAACCGCAACACAGCCAGATCTGGGAGCACTACCTAAACATGCAATTCAAACACGTTAATTCTGCTCTTTTGCCTTAGGAAAAATCATGTTCAAAAATGTGTTTGGGAAGGATTGTCAAAAAGTTCATCTTGCTTGTCAACTACTGTCAAATCATGTTGCTCAGGCAATATCTTACTTCATGCCTTATGAACAAGAAATATCTATATTTTATTAAGTTAGTAAATGAAGTGTTTGACATAATGAATTCAATGGTTTTAAAATCTGACAATTGTCTTATTGCAAATGCTTTTGGAATGCAAATGCACGCTCCAGAACAATTACTGAAAACATTTTGTGCAGTTTGTGAGACTATGCAGATCGGTAAAAGAAACCCTTTACTTCCATTCCAAAAAGGATTCATAATTTCAATTAATTCCCTGATTTCTTGCCACAAAGAACTGAAAAACTATTATAACATCAAATACGTCTTTACATCTCAATTTAATCACAACTTTTGAAAATTTGTTTTCTCAGATAAGAACACTATGTTGAACCCTCTCCCTGTTGAATTCAAAAGTCGCTTACATCTTGTTATAATAAGCAGAAATATTACAAATATAACATTAAACAGTTTTTGTCTTGTGTCTGTTGACCAAGATGTTAATGCATATATCACACCATACTTATTTCATGGGTGAACTTACAATCTGGAAGAAACACAAAGTGGTATAGGATGATTCGGAGGTAGAATACGAGATTATATTAGAAGTTTCCGTATCATGTGCATTGGAATCCATTTCAGAATGTACAACTGAAAGTCTGCTCTATATAACTAGGTATGTAGCTCAGCTTTGTAAATCATATGATGTTCTCTTGGTATAGATAATGAACAAATGGAGATAGTTTCCTCTCATTCAGGTGGAGGTTGGGTAGAAAAGTTGTCTTGAGATGGTTTGATTGTCCCAACAAATAATTACAATTAAAAAGTTGAACCTACATTTTTACAATTCAGTGTAGAGAATGTGGTACACAGACTGCAAAATTTTGTCACAGAGACATCACAGAAAATCTTTGAATCCTCAATTGGTAATTTTATATGCCAGGAAAGGGGTATTTAATGGGATACACCATTTAAATATTGAAGCCAAAGTAAGAAGACCTGCTGAACTTCAGAAGTGAAAGGCAAAAAAGTGGCAGGCTTCATTTTCTTCTCTTTCGAAACAAAGTTAAGGTTTATGGTTCCTTTCTTCTTTTTTTCATATTCTGCAATTTTTTTCTGGAATAACTAAGTGGTAATTGAATGCCATGAAATGTAATGTGATATCATACTTTCCAAGAACTGGAATAAGGCAAAGTTAAATCATATGAGCCGATTACATTTCAAGTACAGTTGAAAATGCCCTGCAGAGTGCTATTAGAAACATTTATGGCTGCATTGTCACTTGCTTTAAAAAGCTCCTTTCAGAAAACTAGATAGTAATTGATATCAGATATTACTGCCATCCTTTATTCTGAGCAAATATTAATACTTTTTTTTTCTGTATATTAGAATTTTAAGTGCTATTTGACATTGTCTTCAAGCAGCTGCATTGGCAAGACGACGAGTTCTTCTTGATAGTGTCATCATGCTCAGAAGTCATTGTTCTTATTCTAGGTACCTTGTCTTTCTGCTAATCAACAGAGATGACTGCTTATTTTAAATGAAAGTAAATATTAATATCAAAATTGTGAAGAGAGATCTGGTCTGGTTTTTTTGGGCATTCAGTTTTGATTACATGCCAACATACTTTAAATGTATTATTTCCAAATCAATTTGAATTTAAGATGTACTATACAAGTATTAAAACACAATCTGAATGCATTGATTTAAAGTGCAAGTTGCTTATGAAAATTAAGTTTATGTAACTGAAAATTAAATTAAATTAAGAAAAGACGTGAATAAAAAGTCATAATAGCATAATAATAGCAGTTCAACAAAGTATGAAAAGCTTTTAAAATTTTAGTTTACTGAATGATAAGTGTATGTAGATAGGAGTAACAATCAGAAATTTAATGTTGTCTAACATTGGGGTTTTGTGGAGAAGACAAAACAGAGTCCAAGGGTGAGCGCTCAAAGTGCCGAGAGTCACTTCTGCCTCTGTTTAGTCATAGAGGCATTTTTTATTTTTCCAGATTTAGTCTGGTCGTCTTGGCATTTATTCATAATTATGGATCCAATTTCTCCATGAACCATATTTACATTGAGAAATATACGTGTTCATTAACATATGTGATGGTATTAATTTATGTTGGAAAAAAATTAATATTCCACGGGCTTTATTTCCATACATTTACTATAATAATACGATAAATGCAACAAAATCAATAACTTTACCATCCGTCAATACACAAGTGCCTTGCTGTGGCAGTCCATGCATAACCCTGAAGCCAGCACACGTTCTCTTCCATAAGATTTGGTTTTAGATCAAATGTCAGTACCTTACGGAAAAGGAATGCCTCCTCGTTGTACACAGGATTCAGCCCATTGCCTGGAACCATGCGGGTCTTGAACTCTTTGCGAATAGTGTCAGTTGGAAGCCCATACATATCCACTTCAACATACGTTCCAACCTTCTTGTCACTCAAGAACTGACCGGCTATCACCTGCACACAATCCAAACGTGACATGAGTCTTCTTGATGTGGCAAACCATTATTACTATTACCATTTAATCACACGAGAGATTTTATCAAATAATTTAAACCACTTGCCTGCACTGAGCACTGTGCTGCAATCACTCCATCTACAGGTGCATCAGCAAAAGGGTCAAAAGACCTATCAACCCGCCGCATGAAATCGGGTTTCAACAAGTAACCACAATTGCCATTGTACTCAAATTTGCCCTGGTTTAGCTGCATGGGTAGATCAGGTGTTTGGAAATTAAGGGACACCATCTGACAGCCTGCATTCCAAAACACCTAAGACAGTTTAGCAACAGAATATAAGCAAAGTCTTTTCTATAGCAGTGACAATCTAAAAGTAATAATGAATTTACACCTAAAATATTGGTATGTGTAGCGTAAATTATTAACACAAATATTACACATAATACAAACAAGTAAATAAATAATATAATATTGCCCCTAATTTTAAAGAGCAGAAGTTACTCTGCATTACACAAAACTCAAGCACAATTCTATTCATTAAAATACTATATATTTGATATCAGTTTTTATATCTATATGTAAAAATAAGTTAAAGAGTGACCACAAGGAAAGAGACGTATGTTAACTCTCAAATACTGCTTGGTTTACACAGTACAGTAAAACAAAATAATTATATTCCAACGAATATCGGACTTTCTCGCTTTTTTCTTCTTTGAATTGAAAGGAAGCAACTAATATAAATTATCGTCACTTTCTATGTCCTCCAATCTCAGATCTTTTTTAGGTACAGTGTATGTTCAAGACTAAAAATAGTTATTCATCAACTACTCAGAGAAGAACTTGTCACTCCAACCATGACCCGATTTTTACATGGTTAGCTAATAGCCATGTGCTTAATGGCAGTGCCTCACGGAAAATAAAAAAAAACTTTACTGCATGTGGTGTGTGTTTGTTTTCATGTCCATGCTTCACAAAAGTTCAAATTTACCACAATTCCCTCAATCCCATTCACTCCTACTGAATGGTAACAAAACAAGATCTTTGAATTAAAGAAATTACTGCTCATAGCAAGGAGGGTTGATGGAAATTGGTAAGATGTATCAATATATCACCTGTGGCATGTAGTTGGAAGAATCTGCTCTTGTTCCTCTGGGATAGATACGACTCATTTGTCGCTTATTATAGTTGACAAACTCTATGGCCTGGGACTTCAGGTAACCCAAGCCTGTTGTTTCGGCGAAGGATGACATGTTGTGGTGGATGTTTTTCTCTGCAACAAAAATTGCAATTTTATAAACACACAATGAAGAAAGAAATGGCTCCTATAAAATTTTGTAATACATTTTTCTGGTTCAATGAAGTTGGTGTTTAAATAGAGCAAGGGACAGAAGTCGACAGGTCAATGGTTTTGCACGATTGTTGTGCAAATGTTACTGATGTTGACACAATGACATACTTGAACATTATTAAGGGGATGTCTCATGTAATGTATAAAATTGCACCAGACACTGTGCAATGTTGCTAATTTAATGTTTATCTTCCCTCTTACTTCTGCAGTATCATAGTGTCTCTGTTAAAGTTTGAACTTGAAATGTTCTTGTGGTTCAGTGGTTCCCAGAGATAGGTCTCTACAGTGTTTGTATTACATTTTGCCCTCAATTGTTTCAGTTCTACTTTTTAACATGTCCTGTCCAGTGATGTTGACCCAGTTGCAGCATGTGGAAAGCAAAGGGTTTGTGGCTCAAGGGTCTCTATGATTGGTGTTTGTTTCATCCTGGTAAGGTAAGGTACCAGAAATTTATTTGGATTTACTTCAAGATCAGTGGCAGCTTGTGCTGACTGTACCATATTTATGCAACAACCAAAACTTTTTGCTACTGAAATATTTTCAGTTAAATAAGTATATTTGTTTCATTACTCTCATAAGTCATAATCACATAACAATTTTCTTGGATAAATCACATATTAGATACAAGAGAATGATCCATGTTTGTACTGTGAGCTGGAGTGTAAACACGTTTTGCTACAAAAGTGACTGTAATGATGGAACATACATAATGAAAGACCATAAGCTGAGAGCGGTGAGGGCAAGGTCTTCATGTTGTTTGTCAATGAATCAGAAATGAGTCTGCTTGCTGACTTGGCAAAACAGCTTTTTATGACAATTGTGTGAGTGACTGAAATTGCCTTGACAGAGTTTGAGACTTCAATGAAAGAGTTGTTACAAAATTTACTAAGAAAAGTGTGCCGACTTCATTTACAAACATGCAAATACACATGTTCTTTGTTTATAAATTTAAATAATGATAACTGATCTTTTGGGAATGTCTCGATAACAAATCAGCATGAGAAACATAATTACAGTGGATTTCTGAAACATGCATATAAATTCATTGTACACCAGTTTGGCAATCCCCCTTCTCCCCACTTAATGCCATTATTTTGTGAACCACAATGTTTGAGGGCATGAGTCACCACTGATCAAGATCAGGTACAACCAAAGACAAAAATGTTGCCAAAGGCGAATCAAATTCATAGGTCAACTTGCTCTGATTATTGGTTTCCAAGGCATCCCTGATTTCTTATGGATGAATGTCAGAGAAGCACACTAACAGGTTGCAGGTTGCATGCAGTCTTCTCTTTCCAACATCATCATGATCACCATGAGCAGCAGCAGCAACATCTCTACCAATCCAGACTGGAGAGTTGTTAAGAAGTTAGTCTCATCCTAACACACTTTGCCATAACTGGCATATGCTGACGGACATCTTGGAGGCCCTCCAAGTACGAATTTGTAACAAGAAATAAATCTGATCTACAATGGCAGAGAAATATCCTTATTTTAAATAAATATATTACAGAGTCACAAACGTACTGTGGAGGAAATTACTTTGGCAATATTTATTGTAACTAAATTACTGAGTATTGCAAAACAATAAATATTTCAAAGACAATAAAGTTTTATTCAATACAATCAAGAGAAAGTTATCTTCCACCACAAAAATTCAAAAAATGTTATTGAGCAATATAGTCAAAGTTTGCATATGAACTCCTTTCATAACACATGCTTCTTTCCTCGAGCATTTATAAGACAAAGTGCCAGGTCACTTTGGCTTTATAGAGTTCACAGTAGATCTCCACACACACACGTGTTCATTGGAGGACAGTTGAATACTTCCAGAACAATTGACGTACACACGCAACCATTGTGCCTTCACCCCTCCTTTACATAAATTTTGTCAATGCAGTCCGTGGCGCTGCATATCATTTCATGTGTAGAGTTGTGCAGAAGGCTCCCGCAATGCCACAGCGTTTGATGATGGTGCTCTTCAAACCATTTTTGGCGAATTGATAGGGATGTGTATTGTTGAGATCATTGATTGCGCAGGCAGGTTTAAACGTAAACACGTTTATGTTGTCGGTTGGTACGCATAGCACAGTCATTCCCTCTCCAGAAGCCTTGGAGGTCGGCGACCGGTGGCGGTCCAAAAGGCAAAGAAGAAGAATCATTGATTATTGATGTTTTTGTTTGTTGTCGTTGTTTTTGTTGTTGGCGGCGACGGGACGCGGACGCCTTCGTTCCTCGTCTGAGTCTCGATGTGGGTGGCAGACGAGCGGCGTTCCTTCTCGTCCAGCGGTCGCCCGCGTTCAACAGTCGCGACGTGTTTAAAGAGCGAGAGAATGTTTAGACCGAGGACAAAAAGTATCAATAAAATCACGCAGCAAACGGATCACAACGGCACATGTACACGCATGCAATGACCTGTCGCGACTGATGAACATCGAAAGAGCATGGGTAACATAGCGCAGAAGACAGGAAGTCACATTCTGCTTCCTGCGTGTCAACATTTTCTCTTTCCAGCGCCGTTTCTAGGCGTTTCTTACAACGTCTTAAGATGTTCCCTACATAGTGAGAGAGGCGGGTAGCGTGTCTTCTCGACGAGCAGACGAAAAGACTAGTGAGAAGGCTATTCACGACATTGTCGTTTTCATGCATGCGGAAGAACTAGGAATAATGTAAATTCTCAGTAGTCTTTATACAGATTCGGATCAGAGGGCAACCCTGCAGCAACGCTTCGTTCTCATCCGGCAAGTTGTTCAATCTCTCCCCTATCCAAACGAAAACACCCGCCTACGAACCGGAAGCCAATTCTTTGTTAAGTGAAGTGTCATGTCTCTCACTCTTCATTCTGTCAGCGCCCATCAGCATGTCAAGACGTGAAGCGAATATCACTTCCGCGAGGCTCGCCTGTGAAGACGCCCTCGACGACAGTAGCGGATGGAAAGACAAAGCGGCCGCGATGTGTAGAAACGCTGCGAAGGCCCCAGGTGACCTCCCCGTCGCCGCCTCCGAAGAGAACGATTAAGCAAAAGTCGTAAAGTTGTCGAATATCTCAGTCATCGCTTGGGAAGTTTCTGCCGCCGCCGCGCGACGTCTTCACGAAAAGCAGACCCCAAAAGAAGACGAGGAGAACAAAAAGGCCATTTATGACGTTGGCGTTTTCGTGCATACGGAAGTACTACCAATCATGGAAATTCTCCTTCCCCTTATTAAAGATTCGACGCCGAGGAAGGGTCTGGAGAAACGTCTCGCCCGCATCCGATGAGATCTCGCGTCTCTCCCGACGCCAACCGCCACTCCCGGTGATGCGGAAGAAGAGGAAGAGGGAGGGCCCGCGGAAAGAAAAACGAGAGGGAGAGTAACAATAGCACTCAGTTCACTCTCGAACGCCGCTGCAGCAGAGTCAGTGAGAAGAAGAAGAAAACAGAAGAAGAGAAGAAAAAGAGAAGAGGAGAAGAAAAAGAGGAGAAGAGAAGAAAAAGAGGAGAAGAGAAGAAAAAGAGGAGGAGAAGAAAAATAGGAGGGGAAGAAAAAAAAGGAGGAGAAGAAGAAAAAGGACATTACCAATTATGATTTCATCAACGCTCGTAATGGAGACACTTCGCAGTTTGAAATGGAAGTATCAGATGTGTAATGATGCTCATTCAAGATAATGATGTGGACATTTCCATAAAATAAAGACGGACGGACTGCAGAAGAAGTAACGAACGATGAATACATCAAATCGTTATTGGCTGCCACCGGCTGAAATAAAGAACTGTGAAACAATGATGAAGATTTTGTTCTGTGTTCTCTCACGCTGATGTGTTTAAATATTTTTAGAAAAATGTTATGTTTTCATTCATCTATGTATGTATTTAAAATTTAAAATAATTTTTTTTTCCAGCAATCATTTTTTCAATCTTCTTCTTATTTACCCCTACATCACAGCCAGGCAAGTACTCCACCCTGCTGCTGCTCCTCCTCTAGTTGTCCGATATTGTTTTTTAATTAATTAATTGATTTATTTATAGGGTAGGACAGGTAGGGGAAAGCAGCAGAATCATGAGTATGCTAACAGCTGTTGTGGCAACACTGCCGAGTAGAGAGATCTCTCTCTCTCTCTCTCGCTGACTGCACACATCAGCTGGCAGTGCATGCGACCTTATGACATCCCATTAGCTGGTGTTTACACTGGATGTAAACATCCTGTTTAAACCGAATGTTGCGATGCAGGACAGGAAAATTTCCTTCTACTCCCACTATAGGCCGGTATTACAGAATAATCCACCAGTAGATTGAAGACCAAATGAACGAGTGCTGAATGAACATCACTTACGTTCCGCTACATCAAATCCCTGGAACTTGATGGGCTGGGCATAGTTCACCATGGATGACAGCCAAGGATGCACATTTGTGGTGGAACCGGTGTACTGAATTTGGGGGACTGGAACATCTCCTTCTGCCAAAGCTACAGGGTCAACTTCTGGAGGTACTTCCTGTGGGCAAAAATGATAAAAGATATACAAGATAGCAGAAAAACAAAAACAATGCATGTACAATAAGCTATGTCCAGATCTAAATACGATTAACTTAAAGTATGTACTATTTCTAATTTGAATAATTACATAAAAAAATAAAAATAGTATTAAAAATTATTTAATATTAAATCAATAATGAGAAGAAATGATGGTGGTAGTGATTGTAACAGAGACGATGGTAACAATAATAATAATCTTTATATTTAAAACACCAAGTTTTCATTTAGAAAGAGAATTTCATCTTTCTGGTCAGCCAGATTTTCTGAATTTTACTTTAAATGAAAGGTAATGGGCCCCAAATGCATTTTCTCTAGTTATTATTAACAGGTTATAAAGTATAGAACTTAAATAAATTCATAAAATTAATAGAATGAACGTATTATTTGCCTTCATTTGTTCATTATGTCATTTGCATGTATTAAAGCCTTCATGAAGGTTTTGGTCTATTGCAACAGAGCATACGTGAGCAAAGCAACATTTGCGAGTTTTTTTAAGTTCAAAGATTAAGGGAGTCCATTAAATACAAAGTCCAGCAACCGTTTGAAACATGTACCCCTTCCCAAAAGAAGTCAGTGGTCATAATTATAACTGATGCAATATGGTTTTAAATTAAATTAGATAACATGATTTTTAACTATATTTTGCTATAACGTACTACATGTCCAGATCTTAGTAAACATAAAGCATTATAAATTACTTTTTTCTAAATCATGTTTTCACAGTGAATAGCGATCGCATTGGTCCAGAATATGTAACCTCGCTCTTTTCATTGGCCTTGGCAAATAAGTATTGAATGACAAAAACAATATTTTTGAAGGAGTTTCAATTTTCATTATAGTGAATATATTGTACTTTTCTATTGTAACTTTTTTTCCATTCTTCCTTTTGTTTAACTAGTAATCATAATCATGATCAAACTTTAATTATTATGATAATGATAATGATAATGATAACAATAACAACATTAAAAATAATAATTATGAATCTAAATAAAAAACATGTTAACCTCTTTCTTCTCAGGGATTACAGGAGCCAGAGCATCTTCTTTCTCCTCATCCTCAATGACAAACTGCCCCTGCCGGAACAGCTCCAGCTCCTGCTTCTCCACTTCTGGCTTCAGACGCTTGTTCTTGATGAGGATCTTGCGTTTCAGTTGGTTGGGCGATGGCAGAGGTACTCCCGGATCCAGCTGTAACCGTACACCAACTCAAATGCACACTCCACTAGGGCAGTTAAAAAAATGATGCTTAAAATTATAATCAAAATCATGCCAGAAGAATAAACTAAATTATATGCAATTTATAAACAACCTAAAAACCAGATTTCCATACTTTCAACTTTAAAAAATTAATTTTAAACTAGACTTTCTGTAGCATTAAAAAGGAAATTCATATCTTAGTTTTGATGTTGTATTGTTGTTTGTATTTGTTTTCCAAATAAATGAAATTTATTTGCACTGAGACATATTTATTCATTAATTTATTTATTATAAGTGTAATTAATTTTTTTACATAAATAAAACTTGTTTTCTTCTCCTTCTCTGTACACAGAATAAATGTTACGAACACTAAAATTACCTGCATATAGATTATTACTTTTCCTCTTATAAAATATCCATGAAGTATCACACAATATGCTAGTTTATTGACAAAAAAAAAGGAAAAAAAAGGGAAAAAAAAAAAGAAAAAAAAGAAAGAAAAAAGAAAGGAAAGAAAAAAAAAGGAAGAAGAAGAAGAAATCTTCTGATCTTAAAAATTTATTGGTTTGTTTCAATTATTTACTTGTAAAATATTTGAATTATTAGTGGAACATTGACTTTATAACGAATAGTATCTCTCAAAGGAAACCTGACCACACCAGGATGAAACAAAAGTTATTCCAGGATAAACAGCCTCAATTGCAACCTTCCTAAATAAATGACCATGATGTCAAAATCAAAAAAATAAACATTAACATACCGGACTGTCTGGTAGAGGTTCCCTTATCAGCAGGTCTCCTAATACCTCATCACAATATTTGGCAAGTTTGTACTGCTGTGCTTTGCAACAATGGTTTTCAAATGACAGGATCACTGGGTAATCTGATGTCACAAAGGCTGTGTCTCGCAGGGCATAGATCACATCCTGCAATGCAAATTCTTGTGGTTAATGATACACATATTAACCAACCTACTGAAAAAATTAATAACTGTAAGAATAAAGTTAAAACATTTGAATGCAGAAACAAAAACATCAGCTCATCACATAGCAGAAAATCCAACAAACTAACACTTAAAAAAGGAAAATTAACCATGCAAACCAATGTTTGTACAACTTAAAATACTTACAATTCATAGTCAATATATGTATATTGTCATTCATTAACATTCATATATGTAATTCCAGATTCACGAACTCAACCCTAGGCAGAAATTGAAATAGTTTTTCCCAGATGTAGATTTCCATTGCAGCAAAAGATTTGCATCTAATAATGTTAATTTGTACAATAAGTTCCCAAAACAGCCCATATTACTCCAAATAATAAATTTGAAAGAATGTTTACATGTGGCTATCGGAAAAACCACTTTTCTATAATCCTACCCAATTATCCTACCCTCTATATACCTACCCGATTCTTCGGATACGGACGTAGATGGACTGCCATCACCAAGTCAATAATGCAGATTCCATTATTTTATCCATACATCACATTATGCCAACTCTGGCACACACACTACATGGTAAAAAAAAACAAAAAACTTTTACCATACCCTGAACAGGATGTCTGTACACATGGCTTTCCCATGGGTGATGATTGGCTCTTCGTCTTCACCTTTCCCATCCCAGCAGTCAAGCTCCACGCAGCGACAGCCGGCTAGCAGTACCTGCCCAAAGCAAAGGAAATGCTCAATCATCTTTCTGATACAAGCATGTGTTCAGAAAACAGGATACATTTCATTCTCTGCAGGGTAGTGTATTTTAGGTAGCTGGATTTTCATTTTTTAAATTTTAAAAAAAATTTATTTTAATTTTTTTTTTTTAATTTAGGTGTTTTTTTTAAACAAAATGTTATGTTTTGTCAGAATTTTGTTTTTATTGCGCTTTAAAATCTTAATTATAATGCTACCAAGACAAGCTGGATGAAAAGAAAATGAATTTGGAAAAAATAGCCCATGCAAGTAAGAGGTTGAGCATTTCTAATGGCAATTGTATGAGGTTTCTGGATGTGTGAAGACATTTGAGTGAAACTTAAATTTTCCATAATTTTAACTTCAAAAAAAGGAGTACATGTATGTTTGAGGGAATGTTAAATATTAACTTACAAAAACTTTTGACAGATAACAGCTGTCATTATATCTGTCAAATTACTGTACTCCATATGGCCAGCTGCTGCTTGGTGCAAAAACATTGATGCCTACTGGGCCGCCAGTGCAAGTGAGCTGGTTTCGGTGCTTACGACACTTTCACACATAAAAAATGCAAAATGCGCTACCCGGGACAGTTTGACATTTTATCCATATTTAGATATCACTAAAACATAAAAGAGTACCAATTTCTATGTCACAATTATATATTATATTTATATCACAAAAAAAGTTATACGTAAACTTCTCCATTCATGCAAAAATCTCATAATTGGCAATTAAAAATTCAAACTCTTGGTGGCACAGTTTACTAGTTTCCAAATTCATTTTTCTTACACTTTATTCTTGTAGCATTTTTATTAAGATTTTGGGGATAAAGTTAAAAATAGTTCAATGACCACCCTGGTGAGGGCGGAAGCATCTTGTATGTATCTGTGAAAGTATGTATGTATACTTTGATTTTTATAACGTAGCGTATGGGGACCTGTCTTCATGATGTAATATCTTACAGCATTTCACTCAATTTTTGGAAATGAAATACATACTTGACAATGTTTTGATAAATGCAAATTCACAAAATTTCAATACCACAAAGAGATTTTTGTTAGTCCAGTTTTGTAGAATTCAGTCTCTGTCACTCAGAATTTGTGTGGGAAATGCACAACAGAATAGGATACACTATGTCATTTTGACATCATATAAAAAATGAAACAAATATTTACTTCAAAAATGTAACTTATTAATATAGTTGATTTATTTTTTATATCTTTAATACATAAGATTTATTATATTGGTTATTGGTCATTTATTATATTGGTTTCTCTAAGTTTTCACCTACTATCAAGTAGCAGATTCCTGTACGATCCCAAACTGACCTTTGAAATCCAGCAAATAAATTAACATTTAATATAACGCATTCAAAAAGTAGCCTTCAGTGCTTCCATTTTTGCTAACTAAAAATATTGCACAAAACTTCCTCATTGAATAGTCTGATGTGTGAATTGCAACACTGAATATCGTGGAATTATATATCACTGTGTTACAACTGTAAGAATCCTTCAACCCATTAAGTATCAGGATCAATAAGATGAGATCACAAACATTATTTACTACGTTACCATCGTTAAGAATGTTTCATCAGCGTCATACTATTTCTATTTCTGAACCCATACAATCCAGTGATGACAAAAGTGTTTCTTAAAAATTGAAAACTGTTGCAAAAAGGAGCTCAAGTAGTAACTCAAATATTTTTAAAACGAAACACAAAATGTGTTTTATGACCCAGATTGTTGGCATTTACTTCTTCCCCCCCACCCTTATCTTTTTCCCCCATGTGAAGTACCATGATTCCCCATTTAGGAATCAAATTTAATTACAATCAAATTAAGTCTTCATTTGAAGAAAATACTGCATGATTTTTCCCCCCAAATATAATGTGCCTGGTGCATTTCCAGAATATAACACTTGACATTGAACTGATTTCTAAAAATTCTAAAAATTTGATACTTAATGGGTTAAGTACGGCCAGTTAATAGTCAACTGCTCATTCACAGTGATACTTTGAAATTGTGTTGCATTGTATCCTCTAATAACATTTAAAAATTCACTACACAATAACATCCAGCCACAATTTCAACAATACTGTGGATCACTAATAGTAGTCATAAAATTTTCATCATAACGCACCTGCCGATACATCTCCACTGAAGACTTTCCACCAAATTGTCGACCAGTGAGATACGTATTATGGGAGGAGTTGATGTAGTAATGTGCAAGTGGCTGATCCATATCCATATAAATGTCCAGTCTATCCAAAAATACAGGGGCATTTTCATCACTCATTAGATAGCGGATCAAACCATCTTTTGTTAAACGCTCTGTAACATAAAATCGATCCATGCTCTGGTCTAAATCACCCTCTTTCCAAAGTAACTTTAAGGAGTAATGTAATCATATGTCAAAATCAAGTGAACACAGCATTTCTAAACTATCTTGTCTGACTGCATAAAAACTGATATGTCATATCATAAATTTAATTTTCATAACTCCACAAAAGGTTAGGCATAAGCAATTGAATATTATATTTAAATATTTCCACATAGAAAAGGATATTTTTAAAAGAGAATTTCTTTGATTTCTTTGTCAACTGACTAACAACTTACAGAAGTTTACATACATTAAATCAATTTATGTAACAAAGCAAATACAGTTTATAATTTTTCTAAAAATTAGAAATATTTAGAAATGCCTATAAAAACTAGAAATCAGAAAGGTTAAAACGTCCTTCAAATACCAATTTTTAAAATTCTTTATTTGTAATACTATTAAATAATAAACAATTCTGTATAAGAACAGGAGATAACACTATAAGGAGGAAATTTAATAGCGCAGAATAACTGCCTAATTCAAGAATTCAATTTACATCATTAAGAAAATGTCTCCTTCATTATCTTTAAAAAATATATAATATGTATCAAATATATAATAAAATAAATCCAAAACCTTAAAAAAAATTCAATAATTAGAGCAAACTTTTTCATTTTCTTAATCAATACATAAATTCAGAAATAAATGTCTCAAGTTGTACAGATTTTCTTTTGATAACATCTTTTAACTTGTGTATTTGTGTGAAATAAAAAACATATCCCTTCATTTACAAGAACATATCCCTTTATTTAATAGAGAAATTTGCATAGTCGAATGGAAGAGTAGGTCTCATGACCTGAGTCTCACCATGTAAAATGTGGTATCATTAAATTGAATTGAAATGAATTAGAAAAAAGACTTACTGACCTTTACACATACACAATGAAAAGGCCTAACCATAGTAAGGGAATCAAACTTAACCACCATACAGCAGTGCCCACCTCAACAAACAATGTTAGAAAGCTAACTCCAACATGATTCTTAATTTCAATAAACAGACCTTGAGACATTTAGATCTCTTTGTCACTTTCTGTTTAGGTGACTCGCAGAAGTTCAATAACAATACTTCGGTTGCATATAAAAATGTGAAGATTACAAAATGAATTGCATAGGTAATTCTACGGTTATTTCTCCACTTTCACTAAAGCACTTGTTAGTGCAAATGTCACTAATGTCCACCTCAAAACAAATATAATAAATTATAATATTCAAGTATAATAAATTAATATGTCGTATTCCCACGAGACACAAGTGTTGTGTTACTCTTCAGCCAATTTGTAATGTCTTGTGCACATTCAGGTTTAAATTATGTACAAAGCATATGATAAAAATATCATTGAACAGTTTTTGACTAGTAAAAACAAAAAATATGACACATGCCAACTCTATTTGAAGAGACAGCATATTAGAACCACAAAACAAAGCCACTCAACAAGAGACATAAAATCAATTATATAGGCACTCACTTTCAGCTCTGACAGCCTCATCCTGTTCATATGTGCAGATAATTTCTGCAGCTCGCTTTTCATCATACAGAGGATACAGGATTTCATTCAAACGTGGATCACGTTGTTTCTCATTCAGGAAGTTGATGAATTGCTCCAAAGTGATTGAGTCTGCCTTCCCTTGTGTGCTGCAACATCACCAGAAGATACTCAAATGCACATATGCTTGTTAGTTATTGATGCAATTTTACTTTGACATAAAACAATGAGCCTTTATCAAATGAACAAAATTACCAACACAATACAGAATTTAAATTGTGTAAATAAACCTCTATTCAATACAATGATACTGTAATTCTGCCAAGCTCCAAGTCAAAAATTAGTCCCTTGAAATTGAGAACGGTAACTTAAAATGACAAATTAACTCATTACTGTTGAGCATCCTCACTTGAGGACACATTTCTGACTCAAATTTGCTTCTTTTACAATAATGTACAAATTTTATTTCTTCATTAAAAGTAGACATCCTAAATGAAACATAGAAAGAAGTTTTCATGTTCTTGAATGCTACAGTCGATTTAGCCAAGATCAATTAATGATGAAATGCAGCTAAGGTCTAACAGGTTTGCTATGCTTTTAGAAAAAGAAAAAATAACCCAGGCACTTAGGAGTGCTCACATAGTACAATTTAGCAACATCTCAATGGATTAGCACTATAAATTGAAAAACTGTGTTACCAGAGAGCCCCCACAATGACTTTGTGGTTGTGGGCACAACAATGGGCAAGAGCTATGCGCACAACATGAATTTGGGTCATCCGGATATTCGAGATCGTTAAGGTAGTAATGTAGTTGCAACCTTTGACTGAAGGTTTGCGGGTTTGAGTCCCGTCTCAGGCACTTGTATTTGTGTTCATCCTTTCACCCCCTATTATCACCATATCATGTCATCTTCATTGTTACCATTACATTAAATCCTATAGTGGTTGTTAATGACCTAGATGTAGATGCGACCTTAAATAAAAACTTGGGATTAATGGGTTAATAAAGTAATAGGAAGGAATGTATTTCATTTTTCAATGTTCTAAATAGAATCTGACAAACAAAAATTAAGTAGTCAAAGCCATCATTAAATTTTGTTGTTATTTTTTTTCATTTGAAATCAGAAAAAATTAAAACTAGAAAAACAAGTTGCTAGAAGATACATTCTCCCTTCCCCTGAAAAACAGTATTTGGAAATACAACGCATCTAATACACTGACCAGTTTATTTCTCAAAGTGCAATATGAACTAAAGGTGCTAAAACAGCATGCACTTTCTCACCCATATTTTCAAAATTGCGTGAAAGTACTCAAATTTTAGAAAATTTGTACATGACATTATTTCAAAACCTATCTTTAAGGACCAGATTTCATAAAGGGAAAAAATCTTTATCTTTAATTTTTAGTTGTAGAAAGGCACCATTGGCATGGTTGGAAGGCAGTTGTGGAAAGTTAACAGTTACAGCAAAAGATTCATATGCCAAATTGCATCCCAAGTTTTAATTGGTTTCTTTTTGATTTATTATTTAATAAACCATATATTTTTGCCACATTTATTAACTAAAGCACTTTTGCAAGCTATTTTTGCATACTTTTAAATAATATTTTACAATTTTTTTCATTCAACATTTACTTTTTTTGACATTTTGCAAATTTGTTTAAAAAATATTTTTACTCAATATTAAATTTAAAAAAAATGAAGTAGATGGATTCAAAAGTGTGACTGTCTGTTTATGGGTCTAGCAGTGGAGACTCAAGCACTGGATCACAATTGGAGGACCAGGTCAAGAGTTCTTTGAGAGTTAACTCATTGAAATTCTCATTAACGAATTTTAAATAGATTGAATAATTTAGTTTAATTCTTAAAAAATTTTAAATTAATTGAACAATTTGGATAATTCTTGCTGGTAATGAAAGGAATCCTTTGTGATATAGAAAATATCTTTTGAAGGTTTTGAGGTCAGTAAATAACAACAGCGAGCTGATGAGATGATTGTTACTTACATTAGCTGGAAGAGCTCCTCAATGTCGTTGCGAGGGCAGATCTTGTGGTAGAGTTCATAGAACTTCTCAAAAGTGAAGTCTGCGGGCTCAATGGAATCATTCTGCAAAACAGGCAGCAAGCTATATAATTACTAATCATTGATGCGACTTATACTTAAAGCTTATTACTTTATACAGATACAAAACTATAAAACTGCAATTATTTGTCCTTTGCCCAACCGATTCTCATCATAAAAAAGGTGTTTGCAATCATAAAACCATTATTTGTTCAAATCACAAACAACATTTAAAAAATCATAATTAATATTTAGAGAAAGTAACAACTTGGAAAAAGGTTGATAAAGTGCTCACACAAAAATTATCCAAAACAATACAAGATAATTACAAAATAAAAAAATTACTGTACACTGTCTTCAAGTGTTTCATGTTTCACACTCAGGTGCGTATTTACTTCATTGTAAAATATCATCACAAAAAATTGCATTTTACACACACATTGCAACTTGTTTATTGACCTGGAGTTGGCTCGTCTACTTTGAGCAAAGACAAAATTGCTTCAGTTTCTGTATAAAATTTTACAAGATTTACAGATAGTTTGCTTCACTCTTAAAGCCAACATATGACTTAATACTTCAGAATACAACACACATATTCAAACAGAATTATACAAAGGAAGTATTCCAATCATTTTCTCATCTATGAAGGAAAAAAACTGAACACCAATAACTGCTGAGCCCACTTGATCAGTTATTTTATTAAGTTTAAAAATAATTATATATCTTAAATTTTCTACACATACAATTTTACACAGCATTGAAAGTATGAAAAATGAAAAGAAAGATAAATATTGGAAAAAGAGAGAGGGGGAGAAAGAGAGAGGGATAGAAAGAGAAAGAGAGGGAGAGAAAGAGAAAGAGAAAGAGAGGGAGAGAAAGACAAAGAGAAAGAGAGGGAGAGAAAGAGGGAGAGAAAGAGAGAAAGAAAGAGAGAAAGAAAGGGAGAAAAAGAGAGAAAGAAAGAGAGAAAGAAAGGGAGAAAAAGAAAGAGAGAAGAAGAAGGAAAGAAGAGAAAAAAGACGAGAAAGAATGAAACGAGAGAAGATAAAAAATTTTGTAGATAAGAAGAATATAAGAGAAAGCAGAGAGAGAGAAAGCAAGGAATAGAAGAGAGATTAAAGAGAGAGAAGAGAGACAAGACTTAGGAAGAGAGAGAGAAGAGAGAAAGAGTAAAGAAGAAAAAAGAAGAAGAAAAAAGGAGGGAGAAAGAGAGAAGAAAGAAAGAAAGAGAAGAAGAAAGAAGAAAGAGAGAGAAAGAAAGAAGAGAGAAAGAAAGAAGACGAGAAAGAAGAAAGAAAGAGAGAGAAAAGGAAGAAGAAAGAATATGCAAGAGAAGAGAGAGATAAAAGATAAAGAAGAAAAATAGAAGAGAGAGAGGAAGTAAGCAAGGGAAAGAAAGAACAGAAAGAGAGAGAAAAAGAAAAAGAGAGAGAAAGAAAGAAGAAGAGAGAGAAAGAAAAGAAAGATAGAGAGAGAAAGAAAGAAAGAAAAAGAAAGAAAGAAAAAGAAAGAAAGAAAAAGAAAGAAAGAAAAAGAAAGAGAAAGAAGGAAAAAAGAAAGAGAAAGAAGGAAAAAAAGAAAGAAAAAGAAAGAGAAAGAAAGAAAAAGAAAGAGAAAGAAAGAAAAAGAAAAAGAAAGAGAAAGAAAGAAAAAGAAAGAGAAAGAAAGAAAAAGAAAGAAAGAAAAAGAAAGAGAAAGAAAGAAAAAGAAAGAGAAAGAAGGAAAAAAAGAAAGAGAAAGAAGGAAAAAAGAAAGAAAAAGAAAGAGAAAGAAAGAAAGAGAAGGAAAGAGAGAGAAAGAGAAAGTAAGAGAGAAAGAGAAAGAAAGAAAGAGTGACAATTAAAAAATTGTTTACCTTCTCACTGGGCAAGCCAAGATCGGCCAAACACTGATACACCAGTCTTGGCGACAACCCTCACAGGAACTTTGCCTTTTGGATTCACTAGGAAGCTTAACCGCATCCAGCTATAAGAAATACATACAATGCATTCTTCAGCAAGCCCTTGATATTATATTCTTGAAGCAGGTATTTCTTATTTCTTTTCATATGTTTGGAAAATCTCTCTTTGGATGTAATAAATTTCATTTGATTATAGCTCATTATGTTAAATTTAGAAAATCCAAGCATAAAAGTATTTCAACTATAATTTGAATAAAGCAACATATAAGTTTTTTTCGTGGATGTTAGAGTAGCAAAATGTCAATGCATTAAATACACATCCACTCATTTTAAGTAGTGAAATATTGAACACTTATTACACGCTATTTGATTATCATTATATGCTATTTGATAAACAGAAGCATCCAACAATGTTCCTAACTTTCCCTCTGCTTGAAAAGTTAAAATTCTGTAGGATCATTCATGTGCACCCCGAATAAAAAAGCTCTTTCTAAAAACTGATTATGTTAGTCAACCGGAAAGATATTATATAATTTAGTTAGCGTAGTCCAAGTTGCACAGGCAATCACTGCTTTCCGAGTATTTATGTATACTTAAATATTTCATGTAACAAATATATTCAATATGTTTGTGTGTGCTCAGAAATATATCACTTTACAATTCGTTCTATGTGAAGCCAGGAAAATACTACAGTACCGGCAGTGTGTAAGCGAATCTTGACAGTTCTCTCGCTACGTGCTGCGGAACGTCATGTGACCTGCTCTGAAGCAATCAGCTTGTGAGGATTTGTTTACTTTCTCACAGCCAGGGTTCAGCGTTGCCGCTCAGCTGACTCTCACGATATTGCGGAGGCGATGAGGTCCGGCTGTGGCGAAAGTTATGAACATAATACCAAGACGTCAGAAAAGGTATGCCAGTAAGTGTTAATGTTTTGAGATTTTATCTTTTTATCGCAGATGTGGTGCCACGTGGTAGTAGGTAGTAATGTATGGCAACTGCACATCGAACCGTCAGAGTCGCTCACACGCTGCTGGTACTGTAGACGTCATGTCACGAAGACGTCCGAAGTGTTTGATGACCCGCTGGGTCTGCGCCCCTGAACAGAAGTGCTAGGCAACCCGCCGCGCCTCCAAGTATTAAATACATGTGTCTGCCTATGCTGCTCCTGCAATTCTGGAATATCGCAGAAATTTTTTCACCCGAAACACTTCTTGAATGTCCATCTCGGACACGTAAATTACACGACAGTGTCATAGCGAACGCATACCCATACTTGAGGGAGAACGTTTTAAGGATAGAACATCGTGACCAATACTTGACAACTTGAAAACATGTCCAAATCAGGACATAGAACAAAACCACACTCACGAGAAAAATCTATTAGAATTTTTGCACAGCGTAGAGTACAATGTGTTTAGCAATCTCGTGTATGAAGTGTAAAAAGCGAACCCCTTTTAATTTAATTCATTTAGCCTATTTTATTCAAAACGGAATGGTTTCGAATTGTGGCGGCCGAGTGTGCGTTAAATTCCCACAATACAACTCTTCATTCGCATTTCTTTAGTTGCCCACCAACAATTAATTTGTATATATAATCATAAATACACTAATTATATAATTAAAAACATAACTATCATTTACTCTGTATATACAACGAGAAAATTCAAAGGTTTTAACAATTTATAAGAAATCACAAAACCGCGTAAGTGTAGGTCTCTGAATACAGAATTAGATCAAGACGAGAAAAAAAAAGACGTTCGGAGATCTTGGCATATTTAGAAACTCGGGCGCACTTGCAACCCGCAACACACCTTACCATCGTCTTCTACTACTACAAAACGATGCGTCCTAGGGCCTTAAAACCAGATTTTTTCGTATCCCGTACAGTTGGCGCTGCTCGCATTGCTGGTAGGAAAGGAGAGGGTGAGGGAAAGTAGCCCAGTGAAAGGGGGAGTGGCATGTGAGCCCCTATAGCGGGCAGTTTGGCCCGAAATCTTGCATTTGAGCAATCTTACATTGAAGAACACGGGTTCAGTACTTTATGGTGTAATCGACAAAGTGAAACCTTTTTGGACGATCTATTGCGTGTTTGGAAGGCTCCTTCACCCCGTGGTCTAGGATGTCAGAAACGCTGGAAGTGTGAAACTTTTTTCACTTTCAATAAAATGATTTAAAAACTTACGTTTTTTTTACGATTTTTTTTTTTTTTTTTTTCCAAAATGTATTTGGGGGGCCTTCAGTTTTTTTTAAAAATTTGTTTATTCGATTCAAGTTACTCTACCTATTCCTAACTTTCTGTTTTTTCATCTCCCACACCAACATCCGCCGCCATAACATTTTTAAATGAATTTACTAATAAACTTAAATTCAATGTAGGAATTTTCCGTTTGATTTGCCGATTAACAGGTGCGGGAACGTGTGAAGGAACACGCAGGAGAATGTATAGGGAGGCATGAGGAAACACGTAAGGAAGCATTGGGTCATATGGGGAACATGAAAGAAATGTGGGGAAACATGTAGGGAAAGCTGTGGGAAACGTGGTGGGAGAATTCGAACGAACATGAAAAGGACTTGCGGGGACCATGTTGAGAAAGTGGCCAGAACATGCGGAGTTCGAGGGGAATATATGGAGGAACAGGGAAGCAAATGGAATCCTAGTTATGTTTTTTAGCAGTATTCTACAAAACGAGACTGTTCTGAATCTTCTTTTTTCTGAATTTTTGGAGAGTTAAGTTCTTTGTATATCCCCAATTCGTAACTTGCTTGGGTGATTCGAATCAAGTAGAATCTCGAAATCTACGTAAAATTAACTTGTGTCAATAAGCTTGTCATGACGGGCTTATGAAGCGTTAACGTTCAGATCAGAGGTTGGCTAACCGAATTTGGGATCCAATAAGAAGCTACTTTCGCTTTTATACAAGGGATATTCACACGGGTTCACCTAATACAGATTGCTGACCGATATGATGTTGCATCATAAGAGTTAGCAGCACACACTGACACCTCAGTTGGGAAGTCGATTATGGACGATAATTCTGGTTGAATAGCGTTCTCCGCTGACAGCATAACAGGAGTTCGCGCAACTGTAGATACTCAAAAGTGTGTTAATAGTATATACGCTATTCTCCGGTTTAAATATAGTGACTTCTGTCGTTTCATCAGCCGGGACGCGGTTATCCAATCGGGAGTTTCCAATGCCCAAAATGAAGAAGTAAGGAAGCTCCATATTGGATAACCGTTTACAGCTGACCAAGCGTCATAAGTCTACAGTGAAATCAGAGTATAAGGAAATGCACTTTGTGCAAAATTTATTACATGTAATTCATCACGAAACAATAGTTAATATTATTAGTGAGAGCTAACATTATACAAGCGAGCACAGCCAAAATCTCCAAAAAGCTGTTACAGTCGGGCTTCGTTACTAATGAGCAGGTTTGTTATTTTTTCCCTAATTTATATGCATGTGTCCATTTCTGTCACTGCTAAAACAATCTGCCAAGGCAAATGTTGCCTATCACTTCTGTATGGACGGGACCTCCCCTTCTACGCTATTCTATTATGAAAACCGTATCTGAGCAATTCTCTTAAGTGGCGAAAAGTGAGGTCTTGGTATTTAAAATCGTCATCAAGAGCATGCATGTTTAATTGGAGCTCCTTACCCTTGGGAAGCAACGGCTCCAGGACACGGCTAGGCATTACTAAACTACATACTATTCATTACACGGAAGTGACACACATTCTCTCACGTGACACACAAGTTTATACAAAGATACTAGAGAGTATATCTAATAATATAAAACGATTAACACCAATAAAAATAGTTCATACGCCAGAGAATCTATATTCGGAAATGGCATTTACAACAAAAGCAGATAATAAAATTGTAAACACCAAACATGCACATTTAAACACCCAACAACACAGAGGACGTCACAAAATAAGCCAATCTGATTTACACATTTCAACATTTAAGTAGTAGTAATTTGGATCGAGGAGAAGGACACAGGCATTTTCAAGTCCAAATCTCACCTGATTTTTGTATCCGGTTGCGTAATATTCAATCTCATTAAAAATGCACTTACACATAATGACCTTTAGTCTCGTCCAAATACAATGCGAATGGCTTTCGTAAGACTTTGAGCATTTCCAAGAAAATCACCAGTAATTCAGGAATTGAGGACTTGTGACTAATAGCTGTTCATTCCCTTCACGGCATAATCCTCGACTCGACCAATACTCACTGAGACATAAGTCAGATAAGTATTGATGTAAAATAACTATAACATTTTCGACAAATACATAAAGTCTGAGAAAAATAGGTAAATTAAGACAATATAAAGAAATAGTCCCACGAAAGGCGACTGGTTATAACAAATCTGTAGTTTTCATATGCAATTCGCTACCGTTTTCGTTGCAAGAAATTGCATCATAACGCGTATCTTATGATAGAAAAGGAGTAACGTTACTAGCGTCTTTTTTAAATCTTTACTAATGCAATAAAGGTTAACATTATAATCTAGTTGAATAACACACAATTAATAATGAAACCGACACAGAAACCGTCAGCTTTATCAATAAACATACTGATGGTATCGTAATGAAACTGTCTGGATTTTCGGATCTTTACAATTTCTTACATTGGGTTCATGTTTCGAGAAGTGGGTCGCAGTGTAATCCGATGTCTGAGCGTTTGTCACGTACCTTCTTCCAAACGAGATTCCCTGTCTTTATCGAATGCCGGAGATGAAGAGAAAACTCTTAATTATTGATAATAATTTACGTTAGAACTGAACCGATCTTCCTCACGTACTTTGGTAATATGTAGTTCAAACAGTAATAAATTTAAAAAAACGTCGCAATAAAACATTATTAGGAAAACAGTTTGCAATCGTTTCAAATCCGCACAGATTTGTACGGAAGTCGTCACCTAAACATTTTACCAGCCGAAAACAACGTTATTTCAAATGACTTGATGCTTTTGCCAACACATAACGACGAATGGCAAAAAGTGTGAAAAACTCTGTAGGAAACGGGGCATCAACTTTCGCCGCAGATTTACCCACATTTTCTTTCCTAGGGCCCGTCAAGTTTTTCTGTTAAAAAATCAACACACTATTACAATACCATCTCCTTGCTACATACGTAGTAAGGGGGCGAGAAAGAAAGACGAGGAAACATGCCCAAGGTTAAGAAACGCTGCTGCTCCGATTTTCCGTCGCGGTGAGGACGCAGTCCCTGCAGCGTAAAATATCGCGCACGCCAGCGTCGCTTCTCGCAATCGTTTTGAGTAACGACATCTCGAAGACGCCTCGATGCTCACGGTCTAGGACAACGACATCTATATCGCGCAATGAATGTGATGTTAGAAGAGCGAACGTTTTTTGTTTAATATCCAATTAAACACACAAATAGTCTAAGGGATATCGTTATAAAACTTATTTAGTAGAAAAAGTCACCTTTGCTTTCGGCTCCCAGACTAAACATAAGTTTCGTTCCTATTTTTGTTGCCTTCTTCAGAGCTGAAATGCCGCGGCCTTTAATGGCCGTGGATTGCACTTCAACATTACTTCCTATCAAAAACGACAGATTTGTCGTAATATGTCGCCTAATTGTGCAAATATCTTTTTATCTTCCTTTTCTTAATTTGCCTATTTTCATGATGAAAGAACATCCAGTAGGTCGCGGCCACGGTATCACACGAGCGGCCGCATCGGAATGTTTATGCTCTGAATATACTATTCCAACAACGCGAATTACACATTCTCACAAAATAAACACTTCGAAGCCCTTGCCATCCATTGTGTTGGCAGTGATTGACACGCCGCGGGGAGGGGGTAGGACTAGACTAGAGGGGGCAAGTAAGACTAAAAGTATTCTTTGCCTGGAAGACTAAGAAAAAGACTGTCGTTGGACGGACGGCGGCGGCGGCATCCCCTTCTATGAACCTAGTCTTCCCAGAACTCAGCTTGTATTGCCCGTGGCTTTCTATACCGATAGCTTAGAGCACACATATTGTATGTCAAGAATCCATAGTTTCCCGACGGTAGTTTGTAAACGTGTAGTTACTAATGGAGCGATGTTTCCTTCTAGGGAAAAATAATGATCCCTCATATCTGGACATGCAAGCTTCGTAGATCTAGATAAATATAAACCAAAAATTATATTAACTCAAAATAATGACGAGTGGACATACAATGTTTGTAAACCAACCCATCAATACGCCCAATGCTACTTTGAGTACTGGCCCTAGGGTCACTGTTATTGGCAGACCCGTTTAAAAACGAGATGTCATCGATGCATCAATATCAACGGCGAACAGCACCATATCTTACAGAGATTAGTACATATGCAATGTAAGCAAGTGCTTAGAGCCCACGCTCGATAAGGGTGGTGGGTTAATGTTTTTAAAACCAAATGCTTATTAATTAACGCAATTAAATAACGCAACTGTATTAGCGATACACAAATATAATGAATTCAATTTTTTTTAAAAAAACTGCAACACCAAAATTTTGGCGAAAGTATTGCTTTTTTAATGTGTTTACATACACATTTTATTTATAAACTGCATATTAATTTTGAACATTGAATTTGTTCTAGTTCGATTTTTATATTGATTTTGGTCCTGTATGGTGAATGGTTTACTATTAATGGGAGATAATCACGGTTTCTCATGCTCAGGGCCCCTGAAGAAATTAATTTGGCCATGCATACCTGCAGCGTAACCTTATGCTTTTAAGACGTTCGATTAAAAACAAACAAGCAGGGACTTCATGTAAAGTACCCAGCAAAATTAAAATATCGGTTTCGAATTCAAAGAGGCCGCGACATCAACCAGATCGATTGGGGAATATCAATTTTGGAGAAAATCGGCAGAACGGTTTTGGAATTGACGATAGACGGACGGTCGGACTGATTGACGTTTTGACGTCAATATATTATTATTATTATTATTATTATTATTATTATTATTACGTTCTTCGTGTATCAAGGACTTACAAAACATAGATTTTGACAACAGGCGTTAAGAGGAAATTATTTATTCTATATAGGAACATAATTTATCCAGTTTTTCGTTAACAGGTCCAAGCAATAATGAGTCGTTTGTTGTTGTTTTTTGTCGAAAATTCGCCATTTTCTGGCGCACGCTTACAATACTTTCTCTTCTCACGAAGTAATCGCGACAAATTAAAGAGGGAAAAAAAGAAAATACCAGGCCCTGCACGCCACACAGCTCCTCCTCCTCCGCTGGATACTCACTGTTTCATGAGCGTGGTGCGCACGCACACGTTGGTGATCTTGTTGTTGTGGGTGATGGCCCGCAGCCCTGCTTGCCACTCCTACACGCGGCCAGCCCGCTCCGCCACGCGGCAACAGGCACATGCAACAGGCAACAAGGGGGCGGCGGCCGCATGCATCAGGCGCGCTTCGTGGCCATGCAAAGAACTACTATGTACCACACTACCGCTACTACTGCTGCTACTACTACTACTCACTGGCGTAGCGTCACAACTAGGGAACGGATTTTCATGTAATTCCATGGTTTTTACAGGAACAAGATACCTGCTTTCAATAATTTGAGTTTACAAGACATTCCGAACGAAATAGAACCATTTTTATTTAATTTTTTTTTCATATTTTGGTATATAATTACACATTTTTACATATTTTACCTATTACTAAATATTTCTTATACATGTTAATATACTATTTATACGTCGAAACATATCATTTCATATGCGCGTTTGAAATATATGATACGGGATCACCGTTCTTACAAAGCAACGTAATTATAGTGCGCTTGTAGATCTTCAACCTTAATATTTAGAATTACCCCCCTCCTATACCCCGCTTCCTGGAAGCTGCGTACTCGGCGTCAACGTTAAGTTGATGTTTGTGAGGCAGATATACTTTCAACCACAAGCATGCTTATGTTTCAAATAGCACATTCGTAACTCGATCGAAAACATTTTTTTACAGATTATTTTCTTGTCGCATTGTTGGATTTGGGAGATGGATATGTAATCTTGAACCTCCCGATATCCATCACTGATGTGTTTATGTTGACTAGCTGAATCTACTCAACGCCCCTGAACAGAGGCACTAGGCAACCCGCCGCATCGATAAGTATTAAGCGCGTGT